GGGCCAAAGAACGCTGAGGGGGAATGGGTTCTTGACCTGGCTACAGCCCACGGCTTAGCAATCTGCAGCACCTTCTTCGTGAAAAGGAAGCTTCAAAAGATAACCCACAGTAGTGGAGGGAGACAAACGGATGTGAGAAGGTCTTCTCTCATAACCGTCAAGGATATCAAGGTGCTGCCTGGGAAGAGCTGGGTCCTCAGCATAGACCTCTTCTGGCAGACATCGCCATAGAGCTTCCCAAGAAAAGGAGAGTAAGAACAGAGCGCAGAGTTTGGTAATGGAAAATGCACAAGGTAGAAAAGGATAGCCTCGGCCGAAGAGGAGGCTGGATTCTCCAGCTTCTCTCTTCTTGCAACCTCGGCATCTTAGTTGTAAGTCTTTCAGTTGTTGTGTGCCTTACGAGGTTGATAGGTGGAACATTTATTAATGGCCTAACGTTTCGACCCAATCGCCGTCTTCAGAGGCCAGTTGTCCCACCCTTTAAGCGGATAGGTCCGCAGCCACACCACAAAGGGTGGAACAACTGGCCTCTGAAGACGACGATTGGGTCGAAACGTTAGGCCATTAATAAATGTTCCACCTATCAACCTCGTAAGGCACACAACAACTGAAAGACTGGAGGCTGGGCTCCCAGACCAACATGGGCCAATCCAGGACACCTGGACCTACGCAGTAGAGGTCACCATACAGTGTGCAAAACTCCTGGGAGAGAAGCTAGGTGGGATCAGAGGAGACAAGGCAGCCTGGTTCTAGAGGAATTCCAGTGGGTCGCAAAGCAGAAGAAGGAAGCACACAAACGCTGGCAAAAGAAAAGGAGCCCAGAAGACTTCGCTGCCTATAAGAGCTGCAAGCGACTCGCTGAGGCAGCCGTTGCTTAGCCCAGGAATTCCGAAACGGACGCCCTGTACGAGAAGCTGGAGGGCCGAGAAGGGGACAAGTTCGTCTTCCGCGTGGCTAAAGCTCGGCAGCGCGCTGCTCAGGGTACCAGGGTAGTAAAGACTGTGAAGAGCAGCAACGGTGCCATTCTCAGGAAATCAGCCGTGGAAAGAGTACTTCGAGGAAGAAGTCCCCGGAAGGATAGCTCACAGATAGAGAGGACGAAGTCCTATCAATCCTTGGACATTGGATGAGGTTAGTCGAGGGCTGGGAACGATGAAGGTTGGGAAGGCAGTGGGTCCAGGGCAGCAGGTACCAATAGGGGCATAGAAGGCCTTTGCAAAGCATGGGGTGAGTTGGCTCTCACATTCCTCAACAACGTCACGGTTGAAGGAGGAGGCCGGATGCATGGAGGGGCAGCACAATCGTCCCCATCTCCGAACAGAAAGGTGATGCGACGGAGTGCTCCAACTACCGGCATTAAGTTGACTCCCCATACGATGAAGGTGTACGAGCGCCTGGTCAACACAAGGTTTAAGGAACTTGTCCCCATCTCGCGAGAACAGTTCGGCTTCATGCCCGAAAGATCCACCACTGATGCCATGTGACAGGCAGGTGATGCAGAGGTACCGAGAGAAGCGGCGACCCTACTTCCTGGACCTTGAGAATGCATTCGATCGCCTGTCTTGGCCTGTACTCTGGAGAGCGATTAGAGACCGTAACGTTCCGGAGCACCCAGTCTCCATAGTGGACATGTACGATGGAGCTGAAGCAACTTTACGCACCCCTCACGGTTTGACAAAGGCGGTAAACATCCGTTGGGGTACATTAGCCCTTAGCCCGTTCCTCTTCCTCCTGACATTAGATGTCATGGCAAGGGAACTCGTGGAGGGGCCGCTAAAAAGCGTCTTCTACGCTGATGGCCTGATAGCGGACAGCTGGGAAGAGCTCTAGGACAAGGTGCAATGGTTGTGCTCACCAAGAATAGACTCCGGCTGAACTTAAAGAAGACCAAGTTCCTGAGCTGCGAAGAGTGTACCGAACCCACCGTAGACCGCCATGGCGAGAGCAACGGAAGGGTCGAGAACTTCTAGCGCCTGGGGAGCGACCTAGCAGCTGATGACAGCGTGGACTAGGCGGTGGATGCCCGAATAAACGCAGCCTGGATGAAATGGAGGGAGTCCACTGGCATCCGTTGCGACCGGCTCGAGAACGCTTAAGGGCAAGGGGTACCGGGCGGTGATAAGGACTGCAATGCTCCACGGCAGTGAGTGCTGGCCCATCCGCAAGAATCATGAAAGGCAGCTCCATTCAGCTGATATGAGGTTGCTGAGATGGGCCTGTGGCTGGACAGGACTCGACAGAGTCAGGAACGAGGACGTCAGAGCGGTTACACAGACGGCTCCAACCCAGCTGAAGGCACGAGAGTACCGACTGCAATGGTATGGGCTCGTACTAAAGGGGCCTGAGGACCACCCAGTAAAGAAGGCTTCGAAATTCGGAGTAGGGGGCAATCAGCAATCAACCACGAGGAGCCTCAAAGAAAAAATGGAGGGACGTACCAAGAAGGACCTCACTGAAGTGAAACCCACGGCAGAAGATGCAGTGGACCGGAACAAGTAGCGGCGTCCAACAAGAACAGCAGACTCCGCGACGACGCGGGACTAACGCCTGGAAGAAGAAGAAGAAGGTGTAAATGGTGTCGGGTCTACACATATGGCGGTTTGTGACACCAACTTCTAGCACTTAAACTTGGCTCTCCAATTGCAAAAGCTGCTTAAAATTTGAGATTTGCATGATCAAGGAACATTGTTGCGTCAGTACGGCTTACAGTTGATTCAAGCCATTCAGAACTTGAGGGTTTGCACCTTGTGAATGTGCATCGCATGGGCGTTGTTTAAAAATTCGTGAATTCTGTTCCAGAAGTCGTGAATTCGGTTCGAAAAATTGTGAATTTAGACTAAAAAGTCGTGAAATTCAAGCGAAAATGGTACAAAGGAAAGAAAAATCGGTATGCATAAAGAAACACTAGAAAGGCAACTGGAGCCCCTCATAGAGCAGAAAAATCTATCAAACAGCATGCAACACACCAGGAAAAATGTTCCTGTAAAATAAAAACGTGTACTAGAAAAACACCATTACATATGGTCCAACCGAGCTGACGAACCGAACGCTGGCTGAATTAGAAAGTCATTAAGCTTTCTGGTATGTGTTCATTGTGGTAGCACAGCTGCGATAGCGACCCAGTGAAAATAATGTAAAACTTGAAACATCAGATCATTCGCAGACACACTACGAGGTTCTCGCGAGTTCAGAGTTGGACGGCATTCAGTACAAAGAACGCACAGCATACATAAGCAAAAGGACTGACAAGGAACCATGCTGATTATAGGTGAACAGCTTTCTCTTTGCACAATACCGCCTAGCAGGACCTAAAAAGCTTACTGCTTTCCCAGCCTCCAACGGCACCAGTAAGCCCAGAAGCTGACGGTGCATTCACATGGAGCGTCACCACCCAAAAATTTCTGTAGCTACATGTTACAAGGAACGAAAGCGATAGCAGCAATTGTTAACGAAGAACAGTGACAGTCTCGCTCATACCGGAAATTTTGCGGACGAAAGTGGCTGAATTCGACCACGTCTATGGAAGGATAACTAGGATAACTACAAGTTGGCATTCGAACCTGACTGCGAAGCGTATGAGAAAGGAACTATTCGCTACAGCAAGAAAAAGACGTACGAATATCTCATCTATGGATCTTATCTGGAAGTGAGTATGATGGAAGGAATGGATTAGCACAAAAAATAGATGAATAATTAAATAAGGAATGAGTAGAAACCACTGAAAGGTAGCATAAGCGTCAAATGACATCGAGTAATGATGAAGGCCAAAACACAGCCACCCACCTACCTTCCTGTTCCTAAACAATTTTCACTCCAGCGCAGGACTCAACGATCTTTGTCCAACGTAAGAGAAATATATGGGGATCTCGTGAGTTTATATGCTGGAGTAGGCTAAATTCAAAAGCAGATTAGAAGAATCAGTGTTGTTTCCTATTCTGCAAGTTTAATTCGAGTTATCGGAAGCCCCTTATCAATAAAAGGCACCATGACTCAAAGACAATACCCCTTCTTCATCAAGCATGTACAGCTTCACAGCCAGAATATGATGATAAAATGTAATAGACACGACCATACTTTAGATTCAGCTTAAGGTTCACTTCCGTAAGAATCAAAGTTTTATTTCATACACTTCCCTGATGTGTTTCAGCTCCGATGCTAGGATAACATATAATGTAAAACCCTCAACCAATTATAATGCTTTAATATTAAAATCTCGAGAGCAACTTTTGTTATTTTTACTTTGCTTTTGTTATTTTGCATGCACACATCGTGTACATTTAGCGCAGTCGCAATACATGGCAAAATCACAAAAAAAAACGATTTTCAGCGAGTCGTAGAGAAATGTACATCAATGAGAGTCAAACAATAAAAGGGAACCTAGGGTGAATACGCAAGTTGAGCATATGAGGTCACAACACTCGCCACATGACAACAGACGAGTTGCAGGCCTCTAAAGATAGAGTGTGAGAGAAAAAGCATGGAGTAATGAGAAAATGGAGCGAAGGAGAGAGGATGGAGTGGAGGAAAAGCAAAAACAAAGAGAGGCATACATAAACGAAAGCGGTGTGGAAGCGGCGGTTGAGTAATTTATTCGTATCAACACATCATCACACAATGGCTGAGAAAAACGAAATTAAAAGTTTAAATTCCCATGCACTAAAAGGGAAGCGTACATCGATTCTCACTACGGGCAACATTAATACACAGTAAGGTGGCTGAGAAACCCGTATGTCAAAGCGCCGGTTGGAACGAAGGATGGAGAAGAGACTGCGGGAGGATAGAAAAAGGACTATATTGAGAAGAAGGATGGATAAAACCTAGCGTTACGGCTGTATTAAATAACAATATACAGGTACATGTAGTAAATCTCTCAAGTGATATCACTGCACCGGTGGGTCGGAGGGGTTAAGCTTGGGATGGAAATTGAATTAGCGGAGAGTCAAATGAAGAAACGCTATTACTATAACAGAAGCGGTGATGATAGTGAGAAAGAAATTCAGTTATTGATACTCCGGACCAAAGTCGGGAATATTCACGTCTCGATAGCCTTTCAACCAATACGTCGTTAACCGTCCTTTACCCTTCATTTCAACTTCACCTCGCAGCTCCAATCGGAAACCCGTGTCCTTGCTTAGAATCTCCTTTGTCACCGACGAGACATGAATTCGCAGTGCTGAAAGAGCGAATAATGGACCTTTGCTAATGTGAAAGAAGTAAAGTAAAGAATTATGATCGAAATGGCCTCTCAAAATGAGATGCATACGGACTGATGCGTCTTTGAATGTGAGAACCAATACGTCTTCCATGCCTCCACCTAATTTCCCCAACAAAGGCAGGTTTTCCTACCACTTGGCTCGCCGGCTAACGCCGGCGCGCCTCCTTCTGATACGGCCCGGCTTCGCCGCGCCTATTTTCTTTCACATATTTCTAGACTCAGCTGATATCAGCCTTTTGTTCTGTACTCCACTTTTTTCCGGTGCCTGAAGTACTCTTGAGCTATTTTACAGACTGTTCGTCTGACTCCGCCTACCTCGGAGCAGGCCTCGCCTACAATGTTTGTGCCCCACAATCCTCACCGACGACCCTCTACTGACCTTAATCCACGTCCTTTTCCCGGTCTTTGAAGTGCTCTGGGACAGTTTTAGAGAATTTTCGTGCTCCGCCCACCTCGTGCTGGCCCGGCCCACAATATGTCTACCCCATATTTCTCAATCGGCGACCCCTTGCTGATCTGAATTCACTTTATTCCGTATTCGGAGTGCTCTGGAACCGTTTTATAGACCTTTTTGTCTGGCTCTCCCACCTCGGAGCAGGCTCCGCCCACAATGTTTTTGCGCCATAATCCTCACCGACGACCCTCTGCTGACCTTAATCCACTTTTTTTGTTCGGTGTGTGGTGTGTTCTGGAACCGTTCTAGAGAATTTTTGTTCGACTCCGCCACCTCGAGGCAGACTCCGCCCCCAATTTTTTTGCCCCACAATCTTAAGCGACGACCCTCTGCTGAACTTAATCCACTTTTTTCCCGGTATTTGGAGTGTTCTGGAACCGAGCTACAAACTTTTGAAATGAATACCCTGCGATTTAGGGTAAGGGCTCCGCCCACTGTGGGCGGGTCTCAACACACTTTGAGCGTGCCTATATTCGCCGGATATTTACATTCTACACTGAGTTTTTGCGACTTCCAAACACTCTCGCGAACCGGGTTACTGAATTTTGCGAGAAGCACCGCCCACCGTGAGTACGCCCCGCCCATTTAGGGTGTACCTGTCACAGCTAGTCTGGCGACTCCTTACTAACCTTAGTCCCTTTTTTCCCCATCTTTAAGCTGCTCCGGAAGCGAATTATGAACATTTTTCTGCGGAACCCCAAACTTTCGGCGAGTGCCCCGCCCACTGTGGGCGGAGCTTGCCATAGGTCAAGTGTGCTTTTTATTTCTTGTCCCGTGCCCTACCTATCCCCACCTTGACTGGACCTTTCCAAGTCGTTCTTCAGGTCGAACCGAATTTCTGGACAGATAAACTTACAAACTGACAAACAAACAAACAGATAAAGCAAATTATATATATGGGGTGATAGCGAGCATACCCAAATACAGCGCAAAGTCAAGGCGTAAGGTGGCGATGTGCCTCAAAGTTATGTCTAGCCCTGTGTTTGCAATTCGATGAAACCTTATTTCCCGACGTGTAATACCCACATTGGCTTCGACCGCCGCGAACACTTTTCTCGCCTTCCATTTGCGTGCTTCTCTTCTTCTTGCTATTCTTACAGTCATAATTACTGCAACGACAGGGTGTGTGAAAAGGCGTGAACTGCAGCGCAGCCAGGACACCGTTCCCTTTGTTGTGGACTCAGCGTGCCATCTTCAGTGGAAAAGGCCATCTAGCTGCGCTCCGACCCGCGCCCCCTCACACGCCCCAACGTTTGCAGTAATATCTAGTTAAGGAATGCTGGAGGGCGCCAAGGAACTTATTGCCCACAGTTTCAATTGAACTTGAGACCGTGTGCAGAAAACTCAAATATGGAATGACCGCAATAGAGAATTTTTTAAGGTGGCAATATCTCGGCACGAATCCATACCTAGTGTACCCGTTGCTGGAATGTTCTGACCATAAGGAGCAAGCTGCCAATAGTGAAAGAGGGCAATATTCCCAACAGTTCATTCATTTTCTAACAACAGTACTTGCACAAAGCGTCGCAGATATTCTCTTCTTTAATGTTTAATTATATCTTTCCAAACATTTCTGGGCGAATGGAAGTGCTGAATCATTTGCCACATAATCAGAAGCCGATTTTCCGCTCCTTCATTTTTGCGAAATTCGGGAGAGTTAAAGGGGCCTAAACCGGCGGTCTGTGCTGAAAAACGTTCTAAGGTGAGAGAGGCGGGTAGCCGTAGCCGTTTATTACACTAAAACATGAATGAAGTCTCCTTTAAATAGCAGATTGCGGCATCACATCACGAAAAATGACACGTCAGCATCCTCATATCGCATGCATACGATGGATGGAATTATGAAGGCCATTAGTGCTTGAACGGGGACAAGTGAATTTTTGTGACACACACACACACGACTCACACACACGACACACTACAGCACACACACACACACACCAGCACAGGCGAGCACACACACACACACACACTACACACACAAACACATATCACAGCACCACACATCACACACACACACACACTGCACACACACACACACAACCACACACACACACACACACACACAGCACACACACACACACACACACACACACACACATCACATCAGCACACCGCTGCTTGGCGGCTTTTATATGGTGTTATTCTGTTTTGTAAGACCACTACATCTTTGGCATTCTCGGTTTATGAAATGAATACAATAAACTTACTTGACTGAAATCGCTAGAATTTGGTAAAAGTAATCGTTGGGAAATGTATTAGCCTTTCCGCACTTGTAAAAGACGTGTATTGTTGAAAGTGAACTGCATTCGCCTGGTCGATCAGAATGTTGGGATTATCATTCAGATTCTGACAGAAACTGAATTTCGCGGACGGACTAGGCAGAGTAGCATTTTACAATATAGTAGTTTTTTTAAACTGTATAATTATTCAAATTTCATTTATCCACCCAGCTTGCCACAAGGTCGCGGCGCATGAAAAGGGCGTCGCCACAGACGCAGCGCTTAGCGACAAAAGCGTCGCGACAAACAGTTGTAAACGATAGAATAATTCAAGTGGATCGCTGCCATCTGTCCCTTTAGAGAATGGACGGAGTCGGCCTGTGCAACAATGCCCGGCCGTTTCCAGTCAAAGTGTTTGTGGGGAAAAAGCAAAAGCAGAAGTTATAAAACAAGATTTGAGAATCTATGTCCGCGCTGACAAGTAGGCGTGGCCGTCGGGACGGGGCTCGTAGTGATGTCTGACGTGATCTGCTTGATGATGCCCACCGTTATATGTGTGGTTAATTTGATGTGAAAAGTGAGGGTGAATCTGGTTTGAAAGGGGTGAATTTGCTTTGAAAAAGGATGAATTTGGTTTGAAAAAGAGTGGATTCAAAGTGAAAATGGTATGTAAACGGTAACGCCTGTCTGTCTGTCTGTCTGTTTGTCTGTCTGTCTGCCTGTCTGTCTGTCTGTCCGGAAATTCGGAATCACCTGAAGAACCAGTTGGAGGGGGCGGGTCAAGGGTGGGTTGGGTATGGCATTGGCCAAGATGTACGGAACACACATGAACTAAGCTAGGCCCCGCCCACTCCAAAAGAGCCCGAAGAGCGGAAAAAGTGGCAAACGATGGGCAATCGGTTGGAGGTCCAAATGAGTGAGACAAACCCATTTTGGCCAGGGCGTTCTATAGCCACACCCCCGACGGGCGGGGCGTTCGCCGAAGTGAACGGTCCCAAGAGCAAAAATCCTCAAAACGCATACGAAAAACCCAACAAAATGGGGAGCAAGGTGAAACTGACTGAATGGTTTGGCAGATGAAGTTAGTGATGGATAACCCTAGACAGTGTACCAAATGGTTGGTACCGTCAGCAATAGTTCATAATTCGGCTCCTCATCACTAAGGGGAGTGCTGCATAGAAAATTTTCACAACTTTCTCTTAGGGGGATCTTTATATACAAGAAGTGAAACGGTAAAGTGCGCTAATTCGCAAAACGATATTTTTTCGACCATTCGCTTGGCGAAGCCGGCCGATCCGACTAGCCCTCCCACTCAAGGGAAACTTCTCACCGGGACCCAATTCACACGCGGAAGGAGGATCCGCCAGCGAATCCGGTCGATCCGACTGGTTAGATGATAACCGTCTACCCTACACGCTAGAGAAATCGTGGAGTCGTGATTTTTAGTTTCACTGGGACATTGCTGGGATACTGGTGTACCGTTGACGGCCATCGTTTCCTACCATGAATTTTGCTCCATGTTGTTTCTAGCATTTGAGGACGGACTGTCACACGTGGGGAAGAGGATAGCCAAGTGATCATGGTTCCCGGTAGGTGACTAAGGCTGCTCTTATTATTTGTACAACAACAATGGCGGCAGGGCACGCCGTCGCGTTGATCATTTTCCGCTAAATACGACCCCTCCCCCTATCACGAGGGCACAAACGAAAAAAAAGCGCAAAATGGATGGAGAAAATGACAATGAAGAGAACTAGGCATTATTGAAGTATTCCTACCACAAGAACTCAAAAAAAATTTTTGCTGAAACTTTGTCTATAGATGTTAGCTGTCCTGACCACGAGTATGACATCATTTCTCCATACCAGCACTATTTAGCGCTCTGCTAAGGCTAAAACTGGGAAAAGGGAAGATTCCCTCAGGCCAGGCTCAGTCTTACAAATTACCATAGCGTCCTACGTTAACGCCGGCGCCAAGAATAAATGTCATATTTGTGATCTGGATGTCAAATAACCCCCGTATTCACGTTTAATCGATGTTGGTGGTTAGGGGTATTTTGGCGCCGCTGCCTGTGCGGCGGGCGCCCAATTACCCTAAATCACCAAAATCGACGAAAAGTTTCGGGCAAAAGGGATGTGATAGTGTTCAGGAGGTCGAAGTACCACTATAAGCAAATTTTCAGCCAACTCTGCCCTTCTAGAAGAAAAAGTCGATAAAAAAGCAGCCTGATTACGGCAGATTGGGGAAGGAATAGTTTGATAGCGCCGAAAACAACTACACAAAATAGAAAACTAATAAGAAAAACTAAAAAGAGAAAGTCAACAAAACATTAGAAACGAACGAGAAAAAATTCACCTGGAGACATAGGAGCCAGAACTAGTAAATAGCATTTGAATATTAGTTGTTCGCGGTCATTCGCTAATACAAAGGGTTTGGAGCGAGCTATTTTACGACCCGGAGCCAGTTTTAAGCCAAACACTCGAAAAGAACCCCTCACTTGAACACCCATAACTTCTTTGAGAGTAAAGTTTCGCAAAAAGAAAAGCGGTGTCAAAACTATTGAGCTTTCCGTTTTCCAGCAAGACTTTTAATTTATCCCTAGGCCTGCTATTGCTATTGCTAACACGTTGTGATCACAACGTGTTCACTGCCCCACGACATGAAAAATCAACCCCTCCGACGCCATGAAACCTCCAGTTCGCTTGAAGATTTGGGTATCCTCCTAAAGCGCACGTTTTTGCCAAAGATACCAGGGAATAGGTCACTGGCGCCAATTGGCATGATTAGTGCGCCATGCATACCGCTTTCAGCTATTGGGGAGGTGCAATTTCTAGAAAGGGCTTCTTCTGTACAAGTAGATGTGTTTCTGCGTCCGGAAGTGCGTGCTATTTACTAGTTCTAGCTCCTATGCGGTCCGGAAGTGTATTTTCATCGTTTTTTGATCCATGGCGGATATTCACTGGCGCGGAGGAGGTGTAGTGACAAGTGGCGCGCTCGCTCGCGGCCGCTCGCGCGATGCCGGCTTCAAATCCCGGGTCGACCCTCGCTCAGGACAACCAAGCCTTCTACCCTCTGGGAACGGTAAACTGGTACCAGTCGTCCGGGAGAATAAAACACTGACTTGTACAGCTTGTACGGCTGGCCACCGCAAGTCATTGTATAGGGCACATCGCGTTCAATAAGCCACTGCGATTCTGAATGGAAGTAGAATGCGTGTCGCATCCCACAAGGGGGGCTGATCAACGGCGGAGACTTTATCCTTCATCTTTTTTTATTAGTTCATGACGTCGTTGTGGGCGGTCATCGTATTTCCTGTCATCGCCCGTTCCCCTCTTCTGCGCTGGCAGGTTGCTTCTGTCTTGTGTGGGAGGTTTTCACATGGATAAGTCTTTCATCATTGGAACTGAACGACTCAGGGTATCGCTGCACCCTCCCTTTAGAAAGGTCTCCACGCTTATTACCCCACCCCCTCCCTCGAGGTCAAATACGACCCCCCCCCCTGTTGTGATGATCACAACGATGGTGTGCCCTGCTTGGCGGTCCGTAACGCTCCACTGCTCAAGTTTCTAATGCATACACGAAGGAGAAATCTGACGTAGATTTGAAAAAGAAATCAACCCTTTATCCTTATCGCCGTTGCAGAAATTCGAAATCTAGAACTGGGTAAGCTGCTCAACGGATAGCCAGGAGTCTAAGATAATAATGATTATTGCAGTATCGCTTAAAGCCGTCTTGCCGTCATGCAAAAAATGTCCCGTCGAGGAAAGTCGCAGATGTTTCGTCCACCTCAACAGAACACTCAGTTGTTGTCATAAGAATCAGAAAAGTTGATAGCATTCACCCTCTA